TACCAAATAAGCTTTACTACAAAAGTTTGGGCGGGAAAATGAAATTGGATGATTTTGTTGTTTTTTTTTTTTTTTTTGAAAAGGGATGATTTTGTTTTTATATAATAATAATAATAATAATAATAATAATAATAATAATAATAATAATAATAATAATATATAATATATAATATATATAGATTACTTATTACCCTAATACTTAATTTATAATTCTGATTTTAAAATTCTTATTATTATTATTAACATTAACATTTGATTAGTTTTATAAAAAAAATGTAAATTCTAAAATTTGTATGAATAAATTTAAACTCTAATCCGACGCATTTTCTTATATGATTGTATAATTCATTTTATATACACATAATATTTATTAAAATGAAAATAGGAAAATTCTATAATATAATTTCATTAATTATAATTTATATTGATAGATTTATAATTAAAAAATTACATTTAAAAATTTAAAAAGTTGCATTTAAATTTTGCATGATTATTATAGTGCATAAGTGTATGTATGATTAGAAATATTCATGTTTTGTTAATTTAATAATTTCATTTCTTTAATTATATTTCATATTTTATTAATTGTAATTTAACTAAATTGTCACAAATATTTCTAGGGAAGAAATCTTATATTTCTCAATTTTTTTAATTATATTAATTATAATTACCAAATATTGTGACAATTACCATAATAATTTCATTAATTATATTACTTATATTAATTATAATATTTGTAATAATCTCTTCCAAAATTTAAATACATTACCATAATAATCACACAAAATAATGAAAGAAAAATTATCAAAATAATTATCTTTAATAAAAATAAGGAAATTATATTAAAAATTAATTATATATTAAGATAAGTATAATTTTTTCATGCCAATATATTATACATTAAGTATAAAAATATATATGTATATAAATTACCATAATAATTACACCGAAAAAGGTAACAATATATAATTATTAGGTAATAATATTAATAATTAATTATTAAGGTAAGTATAACTTATTTTGTACTAATAATATTATCCATTATATATATATATATATATATATATATATATATATATATATATATATATATATATATATATATATATATATATACTTTTAATTTTATATTGATAACCATAGTCTATGTATATACTTTAAGAAAATATTCATTATTAAAGATTAAATATGAGATATAATTTAAAAAGTAAGTTATTTATTAGATTACCTAATATAATTGTCTTACTAATTGATTCAATGCTACTATGTATAATTCATATATTTGAAAACTTTTTAAATCGAAATATCCATTAATTGCCTTAATAATTAAAATAATTGTTAGTCAATCAATATTCAATAGTACTAAAAGTATTATTTGAATTTTTATACATAAGATATAATATTATTAAATCGAAATAATTAAAAATAATGTGTCCATATTACAAAAAATTTTATAATAGTAATTTTTATTGCATAATAGAATTTGGCAATTATTAAACATTGTTTATGGTAATTATTGTATGACTTTTAATACTAAAATTATTAGGTAGAATTTTTATAATTAAGGTATAATATTCTTAAGGTAAAATATTGCTTATATATGGTTTACCCGTATTAACCATCACTATATTAAATTAATAAATAATTCTTTTAATATAATATATTATTAAATCTAAACATATGATTAATATTTATTCAATATTATTACGGAAGTATTACAATTATAAATTTTACTCCGTATTAAATTTTAAATGGCTTAGCATATCGAAGCAAACATGGTAAGTCAATAACATTATTTTACATTAGTAAAGTGATTTTATATCAAGGAATGTCAGATGAAGAATAAAATCAAAATAATACTCTATTGAAAAAAAGCCACAGTACTTAATCATTTTTTTCCTAAAAAAAAAAATTAAATGGCAATAAAAACGTCTTGAAGGGAAAGACAAACTACTCTCTTATTACAAAAAATGTACACTTTAAAAACGGAGAAATTGAATCGAAACAAAGTCCAATGCTTTGATATATTGACAACTAAAAAATGCTTTTAATTTCATTTTGGTTTTATTGTATTCTTAGTATGGGTCCCTCTATAAGTCTATATATATTTACATATACACATAATTCGTCCCTCAATCACAAAACTTTATCATCTTGATGAGCAAGGAACTGTTTTGCTTCCCGATCAATCTTTCTAGATCTGTATCTTCTCCACAAAAAAAAAAAAAAATATATATATATATATATATATATATATATATATATATATATATATATATATATATATATATATATATATATCAACATTTTTTCTTATGAACCACTTTTGTTGTTTAAAAACCATAAAATACAAAAAAATAAAAACAAAACAAAACCCAAAAAGAAGAAAAAATAAAAGAAACTAAGATGATGATAACCTCACCAATGTAAATCACGTATCAACCTCAACTGTGGAAGATCACATGATGATTAGAAGTCTATTGCTTCCCGGTCAATCTTTCTAGATCCGTATAGTATCTTCTCCACAAAAATAGACCAAAAAAAAAAATATATCAACATTTTTTCTTACGAACCACTTTTGTTGTTTAAAAATCAAAAAATACAAAAAAAAAATAAAATAAAAACAAAACAAAACCCAAAAAGAAGAAAAAATAAAAGAAACTAAGATAATGAAAACCTCACCAGTGCAAATCACGTATCAACCTCAACTGTGGAAGATCACAGGATGATTAGAAGTTTATTGCTTCCCGATCAATCTTTCTAGATCCGTATCTTCTCTACAAAAATAGACAAAAAAAGAAAAGAATATATCAACATTTTTTCTTACGAACCACTTTTGTTGTTTAAAAATCAGAAAATACAAAAGAATAAAAACAAAACAAAACCCAAAAAGAAGAAAAAATTAAAGAAACTAAGATAATGAGCACCTCACCAGTGCATATCACGTATCAACCTCAACTGTGGAAGATCACAGGATGATTAGCAAAAATCAATAAAATAATTAACCTTAGTTGGGGTTGTGTATGATCATATAAGGTGTATTTATACACAATGGATGAGATCAAAAGGGTTTAGTATTGAAATTATAAAATGGTAAGAGATCTCAAGAAAGGTAAAATCTTTAATATTATTAAAATGCCATATTTGTCTAAATATTTGATATTATAAAAATGCCTCTAAGTTTTGGGGGGAAAACTTGGCTAGGAGGATTTTACTTTTATATATATATAGATTAGATTTTTTGTGTTCAATATATACTACTTAATGTAGTTTCTAAATTTATAAATTTTACATACTAATTCTAAGCTTATTATGAAAAATTAAATTGTAAATAACTTCAATCAAGCCTCGTTAACCGAATCCAATAGATAAAATGGGATGGATGAAGCATTATATTTAAGGCTTAATTAAAGTATTGATGATATCTACAATTATGTTATGTTATTACTTTATTCTCAAAGTGTGTATTACATTTATGCTATAAAATATTTTATATAAGACTTAAAGTATTTGATTATATCAACAATTTTGTTATATTATTACTTTATTTCTTATAAACCATTTATTACATATTGGGTATTGATGGGGTAAGGACCCCGGCCCAAGAGATAGGGGCCCAAAGGAAATGGTTCAAGACAGGAAAAGTGGGCCAGCGTCCGAGGAGCCCGAAGAGCAATTGGGCCGAGCCCTGGAGTCGGCCCAGGCCCAGGCACGGGGCCCGGAGCCCGAAGAGCAATTGGGCCGAGCCCTGGAGTCGGCCCAGGCCCAGGCACGGGGCCCGGTTCAGAACTGCTAAAGAGGAGCCCAGTGGGAGCTTAGGTTGAGACGAGGAGTCGACCAAGGCCTAAGCCCAGGAAAAGACTCGGTTCAAGGAGCCGTTGAGAGCATTGAAGAGGCACGTTTAAAAGGGAACCGTTGAGAGCATTGAAGAGGCTCGTTTAAAAGGGAGCCGTTAGGGCATTGAAAGCAGGACTCGGTCAGGCTGTTACAAGCCTAGAAGAGCCGTTGGTCGACCGAGTAATGGCGTCCAACGGCTCCATATCTTGATTAGTCTTGAAGTCGGCCATTAAGGGCCTTCAAGTCGGTAGAGGAGGAGCCGCTATTTAAAGGCTCCTCCACTCTTGTAAAAGGATAGACGATTGAATACCCAAAAAGGGGGAGAATACCAAAGAGATTCCGAGTGCTAGCATCATTTCAAATACAGGCATACATTTTATTGAAGGTGTATCCTCCAGCTGAAGGTTGTGTTGGACCTCCTTGGGCCTGAAAACCCAAAAACCATCACTGGCGCCGTCTGTGGGTATCGAAACTAAGAGTCATGTGTCCTCCTGAGTGAGGCGAGTCTAAGGAACGACAATTAGAATCTCAGTCGAATTAGAAAAGCTCCTGACATGGCAGGAAGTGAGGAACAATCGAGCCGTCATGACAACGGACGGGAGGCAGACCTGAGAAGCCAGCTGAATCGGAGAAACGCCCGGAGCCGGGAAAATGAGACAACGCCGCCGCCGACACCACCGATAAACCAACAGTTGCCCCAAGTGCTGCTCACCCCAGAGCAGCTACGTGCAATCGGGCGCGCTTGCGCCGAAGCAAGCCGAGGAGCGAGAGAACAGACCGTCACTCGCCAGCCACAACGCGATTCACAGTCGCCCCATAGGCCCGATAACCGGCAACAAAACCGATGGGCCGAAAGCCAACCGGTACAGTCCATTCATTCTCGGCTGGGTCCCAGCGTCGGGCGGCGGGCGGCAAGAGAACGATTGGGTCGAAAGGAACCCAGTCGTGCCCCATTAGCTGCTCGCGATCGGCAAGCTGCACGAGAGAGGAACCGTACCAAAAGAACCAGGACTGAGACTCGCCGCGTGGAGCAACCCCCCCGCAACCACGACCAACCGACCAAGTCTGAAGTCGGTTAGAGCACGGAATCCACGGGAAATCGCACCCGGGAGAGGGTCGAAGTGGCGAATTTAGTCCAAGAAGTGTGAAATCTGAAAGAACGGATGGAGGGGAAAGCCAAATCCCCAGGACGTACGTTATTGACCGCCTTACCCTTCTCGGACGAGATTATGGCTTTTAAGATACCGGGTGATTTCAAGTTCCCGGAGCAGGCCACGTTCGATGGAACCGGCGATCCCCGAGAGCATTTGCTGAACTATCAGGCTAAGATGCAGGTTTTGGGGGTACGAGATCCGGTCATGTGCCGCGCTTTCTTACCCACGTTGAAAGGATCAGCACAAAGGTGGCTAGTGGCGCAGCCCTCGGGGTCGATTCACAGCTTTGAAGAGCTGGCAGACCGCTTCATGAGACACTATGCCGCTAATATCAAACCACAAAAGGACCTAACACACTTGGGCGACATCCATCAGGATGAGGGCGAGTCCTTGAAAACTTATCTGGCCCGCTGGCAGAAAGAAATCCAGTCCATAGAGGAGGTTGAGGACCAGACGGCGCTCACCTTCTTCATCGAGTCCTTGCGGTCCGGCCAGCTATACCGAGACTTAAGGGACAATCGCCCGGCTACCTACGCAGAGGCCATTCATATGGCCAACAAGAGGGCCAACACGGAGCAGGCTATGAAGCATAAGCGGCAGCGCGAAGTCGGCGGTCCGCCAGCGGGAAGAGGAGGCGAGCTGAAACCAAGGAAAGGCGCCCGGACGTAACTCGGCGACCCGAAGTTAGACGATCATACGACAGACCCGTCGTCCACGCCTATCGGCCGGCTCCTGAACGGTCGGTCCATGAGATACAAGCGGTTGCCCCGCCTCCGCCTCCGCCGATCGACGATCGCGCAACAAACGAAGAGACCGGTAAGACCTCTAAATACTGTCATTATCATAAATCTTATACCCACAGCACGGAGGAATGCTTCTACCTGAAGAAGATCATGGAGGGTATCATTCAGCAAGGAACCCCGCCTCCTAATCAGTGGAGGCGGAGATCGGTCAATCGAGGGGATGAGGATCCCGCCGCCGTTGCCAAAAATAGTCGAGGCATGCAGCCGGCTCCCAAAGAGGAGGAGGCTCAGTGGCGCCAGAAGTCAGTTATCAACATAATAGTCAGCGGGCCGGAAGGTGGTGACTCAGCGAACACCAGAAAGGCCTGGGCCCGCCAGTTGTACGTCGGGACGGTGTACGGACGAGAGGAAAACCCTAAAAAGGTGTGCCGAGAGCCTATCGTGTTCACCGACAGAGATTTACCAGCCGGAGAAATACCGCATCGAGATGCGTTGGTTATAGCCATGGACATCAATGGCGTCGTCGTTCGACGAATCCTGGTAGACACCGGAAGCAGCGTCAATGTGCTATACCTAGAAACCTTCATCAAAATGGGAATGACTCGAGAACAGCTGAGCCCTGTCAAAACTCCCCTCGCCGGTTTCACAGGGGACTCGGTGGAGGCGGAAGGATCAATCACATTTCCAGTTGAGATTGGCAGTTACCCAAATGTACAGAAACTCAGCATGAAGTTCATTGTGGTGAACCTGGCCTGTTCGCATAACGCTATACTCCGCCGACCGGGTCTCGAGGATCTAGGAGCTCTGATTTCAATCGAGCATCTTTGTTTAAAATTCCGCACACCAAACGGAATAGGTACGGTGCGCTGTGACCGAAAAGTCGCCCGCGACTGCTATCTGCAGACATGCAGAGGGATGGGCAAACGCGAGATGCAGGTCCATGAGATCACTGAGAGGCCCCCAAAAAAGACGATAATACCTCGTCCGGAACCTGCCGTCGAGTTGGAGGAAGTCGAGATCGACTCCACACAGCCGAACCGACGGGTCCGAATTGGAGTCGGCCTCCCCGAGAAAGTAAAGGAAGAGATTATAAAGGTGCTCCGGGAACACCGGATGGTTTTCGCCTGGGGCCCGGAGGACATGCCTGGCGTCGACCGATCGATCATATCGCATAGACTCGCCGTGGATCCCGAGCATCGACCGGTCATACAGAAGAAGCGATACCTGGCCAACGACCGAAGAGAATTTGTGAAGAAGGAAGTGAGCACGCTACTAGCAGTCGGGCACGTCCGCGAGGTTAAGTACCCGGAGTGGTTGGCGAATGTGGTCCTTGTACCCAAGCCCCCGACGTGGCGGATGTGCGTGGACTACACCGACCTTAATAAGGCCTGCCCAAAAGACCCGTTTCCCTTACCTCAGATCGATCAATTGGTCGACGGCACTGTTGAGCTTTATGGATGCCTTTAGGGGGTACCATCAGATATTCATGCACCCGGCGGACGAAGAAAAGACCGCGTTTTTGACGCCGGACGGGGTTTATTGTTACCGAGTCATGCCCTTCGGGCTCAAGAACGCCGGAGCCACATATACCCGAATGGTAGCCCGACTATTCCAGCACCCGCTGGGAAAATCGATGGCCGCGTACGTCGATGACATGCTCGTCAAGAGCCGAGAGGAGAGCAAGCACGCCGAAGATCTGGCCGACTGCTTTAAGGTGATGATAAAGTACAACCTCCGGTTGAACCCTAAGAAATGCGCGTTCGCCGTGCAAGGGGGAAAGTTCCTGGGCTACATGGTCACCAAGCGAGGTATCGAACCTAACCCTGAGAAAGTACAGGCCATCGTCGACATGCAGCCTCCCAGCACCGTAAAAGACCTGCAACGGTTGACCGGCCGACTGGCCGCCCTTAGCCGCTTCCTGAGCAAGGCGGCGGATAAGACCGTGCCTTTCTTCGAAGCCATGAAGAAGAAGGAAGGATTTACTTGGACCCCTGAGTGCCAGCAGTCGTTTGAGGAATTGAAACAATACCTCTCGACACCCCCGGTATTGTCTACCCCCCAGGCGGGCGAGCCCTTATTTCTGTACTTAGCCGCCTCCTGCAAGGCGGTGAGTTCGGTGTTGGTCCGAGAGGAAGAACGAGTCCAACACCCGGTTTATTACGTGAGCCGCTCCCTGAAGGCTGCCGAGTCAAGGTATAACGCCTTGGAAAAGATTGTATATGCGTTGGTGGACACCGTGCGCAAGTTGGCACCCTACTTCCAAGCCCACACTGTCCGAGTGCTGACACACCAACCGCTCGGAAGCGTTTTGCGAAACCCATCGTCGTCCGGCCGCCTGGTAAAATGGGCCGTAGAGCTAACCCAGTATGGGATTGAGTACCAGCCCCGGGCTTCCATAAAAGGTCAAGCCTTGGCCGACTTCTTGGTCAAATGCACGGCGAGTGAGGAAGAGAAGGAACGCGCCACGGAGAACTGCTTAGGCGAGTGGTAGGAAATGCACGCGGACGGAGCATCAAGTCGACAGCACTGTGGAGGTGGTGTCGTACTTATCACTCCTGAAGGATTCCGACTGTATTATGCCTTGAGCTACCTGTTCCAAGCCTCCAACAACGAGGCCGAGTACGAAGCTGTGTTAAACGGCCTCCGACTCGCCAGGGCCTTAGGGGTCGAAAGGTTACGAGTCAAGACCGACTCTAGATTAGTAGTCGGGCAGATCTCGGGCACATGTGAGGCCAAGAATGCTCGGATGACTCTATATAGAGAGTGCGCAGTCGAGATGTTAAAAGAGTTCGGAGCCTACGAAATAGAGTATATATCCCGAATGGATAACGTAGAAGCTGACATATTGTCCAAGATTGCCTTGGAAGGAGTACCGGACCACCTGGTAAAAATCTGTCAGAAGGAGGAGCTAAGTCAACCAAGCATTGAAGAAACACCGCTAAGGATCCAGCAAGTGACTGGCGAGGAATGGGACCGAGAGAAAAACCCCGAGATGTTCTGGATAGAGGACATCCGGCGATTCATAGAAAAAGGCGAGTTACCGGTAGACCCGGGAGTCGCCGCAAGGGTTCGACGAAAGGCCCCCTCTTTCCAAATCATTGATGGGCAACTATATAAACGATCGTTCGGAGGACCTTTGTTAAAATGTTTGCTAAGGACCGAGGCCGAGAAAATAATGAACGAAGCCCATAGAGGCATTTGTGCCGCGCACCAAGGTGCCCACACGCTTGCTCGGAAGTTAGTCGTCCAAGGATATTATTGGTCAATCATGATGCGGGACTGTATTGAATGGATATCCAAATGCGGCGTTTGCCAGGCATTCGCCAAGAAAGACACCCGGCCAGCTACCTTTTACACGTCGGTCACCACCGCCATCCCATTTGCCAAGTGGGGGATCGATTTGCTGGGGCCATTACCAGTCGCCCCCGGAGGCTTGAAGTTCTGTGTCGTAGCCATCGACTACTTCACCAAGTGGGTCGAGGCGGAACCACTGGCTACCATAACCGAGTACCAATGCCGACACTTTTTGTGGAAAAGGGTGATTTGCCGCTTCGGCCTGCCCGAGCACATTGTCAGCGACAACGGGCGACAGTTCGATTGTCAGGCATTCGCCGACTTCTGCCGCCGACACGATATCCGCCACACTAAGGTGTCGGTGGCATACCCACAGGCCAACGGACAAGTCGAGAACGTGAACCGAACGCTAGTGGATGGGATTCGGAAGAAATTGGAAGATATTCGAGGGAATTGGGTAGATGAGCTTGACCGAGTCTTATGGGCTTATCGCACTACCCAGCGGCGAGCAACGGGAGAGAGTCCATTCTCACTCGCGTACGGCTTTGAGGCCAAGGTTCCAATTGAGGTGGTCGAGCCCACTCACCGGGTCCGTACCTATTCAGACACGGAGAACGAAGAGAGTCTTCGAATTGAGAAAAATTTCTTAGAGGAAAAAAGGGAAGCAGCGAGTGCGCGAATGGCTGAATACCAACAGGCGGTAAAAAGATATCGCGATCGGAGGATTCGTCCGCGAGCCTTCCAGGTCGGCAACCTCGTACTACGGGATCGACAGGCCAGTCAGCCCACAGAGGGGGGCAAGCTTGCGATTAAGTGGGAAGGACCATACCGCATTGCCGCGGTTGTCCAAGCTGGAACCTACAAATTGGAAACCATGGAGGGCAAGCCCGTGGACCGGATTTGGAACGTCATCCACCTAAAGAAGTTCTACCAATAGAAAGGCACAGAACATGTATGGGCCCGAGGGTCCTGAGAGACTTGAATAAAAGTACAAGTTACGGTTAATCACTCCCCGGACTCGGCGAGAAAGAGTTAGGAAACAAGGGCCCAGACCCTTAGTCGTTTCCGTGAAAAAGCCAAGAGGAGTCGCCTCGACTGAGGGACTCGGCGAGTATTTAAAGAAACAACGGGGCACTGACCCTAAACGTTTCTGAGAAAGAAAAAGCCTAAGGAGTCGCCTCGACTGAGGGACTCGGCGAGAAAGAGTTAGGAAACAAGGGCCCAGACCCTTAGTCGTTTCCGTGAAAAAACCAAGAGGAGTTGCCTCGACTGAGGGACTCGGCGAGTATTTAAAGAAACAACGGGGCACTGACCCTAATCGTTTCTGAGAAAGAAAAAGCCTAAGGAGTCGCCTCGACTGAGGGACTCGGCGAGAAAGAGTTAGGAAACAAGGGCCCAGACCCTTAGTCGTTTCCTTGAAAAAGCCAAGAGGAGTCGCCTCGACTGAGGGACTCGACGAGTATTTAAAGAAACAACGGGGCACTGACCCTAAACGTTTCTGAGAAAGAAAAAGCCTAAGGAGTCGTATCGACTGGGGGACTCGGCGAGAAAGAGTTAGGAAACAAGGGCCCAAACCCTTAGTCGTTTCCGTGAAAAAGCCAAGAGGAGTCGCCTCGACTGAGGGACTCGGCG